TAGCCTGGGCAACATAGTGAAAGCCTGTCTCTAAAAACAAACAAAAACTACTCTCATAGCAATTTGCAAATATATAATACATTGTTGTTACCTATAGTCACCCTGTTATACAATAGAATTATTGAAATTATTCCCTCTCCTGTTAACTGAAATTTTGTATCCTTTGACTAACATCTCCCCTCATACTCTAGCCACTGGCAATTACCATTTTGCTCTCTGTTTCTATTAGTTTGATTGTTTCAGGTTCCATGCACAAAGAAGATCATGTGGTATTTGTCTTTCTGTACCTGGCTTATTTCGATTAATGTAATAGCTTCCAGTTTCATCCATGTTGTCGCAAATGACAGGATTTCCTTAGTTTTTAAGGCTGAATAGTATTTGGCTGTGTATATACTGTATACTACATTTTATTTATTCACCCATTGATGGACACTTAAGTTGATCCCATGTCTTGTCTATTGTGAATAATGCTGCGGTGAACCCGGGAGTGCAAACATGTCTTTGACAAACCGATTTCATTTCCTCTGAATATGTACTTACTAGTGGGATTGCTGGTACATATATGGTAGTTCTATCTTTACATTTTTGAGCAACCTGTACATTGTTTTCAGTAATGTCTCTTTTCTGGTAGTTCCAGCGAAATTCCCAGAGAGAGCTTTAACTGGACCAGCCCGAGTCACATGTTCATCTCTGGATCAATCGCTATGGGCAAGTCAAACATGGCCTAGGTGACCAGCACACCTCTGGGGCCACGGGATGCCCAACCTCCCTGGCCCTCTGAAATCCTTATGGGCTGAGAATGCAGGTAAGATAGTTTTAAAAAGGTATAAAGCTATTCTGTTACCAGGAGACATGGGCAGGGTTATTGAGAAACAACAATAACTTAGAGCAGATTAACATAGTTTTTTTCTTTTAGAAAAACATTAATGCTTTTGTGAGGGAAGAAAGTTTTTAACGACTACAAATCTGTATAACGTCTACCTGTAAGAAGGTGCCCGTGGTTTTGGAGCCTCATTTTAACCAACATACGTCACACTGTTTCTACACTAAGGTAGGGAAGACCCCTACCCCTTGCCAATCCGACTTGTCCTCTTGCCTTTTTGCAGCATCTGTCAGTTACTCATCCACAGACAGTAAGCAGAGTTGGCTCAATGAAACTCCACCTTCCTGGGCAGCCATGACTTCATCCTTGTCCCAGGTCTGTTTCTCATGGTAGTTGGGGCATTAACAGACTTTTTACTTTTTCCATGCTGAAGATTTTCTTTAGCAGACAATTGCAGCAGGGGAGGCAGAAGAAATAAACAACTTGAGCCCAAAGCTGAGACCTTTGCTTTGAATTTCATAGGAGCTAATAATGTCCTACTCCTAAACTTATCATATCTCACACTAGATTATTTTCTGGCCTCACCGAAAGCCAACAAGTAACCACAGGCATGACTGGACTAAAGCATGTGTATGTCCCAGATAGGTTAACCATTTATTTGGTGGCCCTTGACATCACTTTGTTTGGCATCTGCTCAGTGGAGAAAGCAAAGGTCATTAGGTCACCCGTAGCTCTCTCTCCTCCACATTCTCAAACTTGCACATTCCAGCCAGTAAGGCAGAAAGCCTGTGATATCAGGACACATTCTTTCTAGTAGGCAGTTTATTAACCTCCTACTCTGCTTGGCTCTAGAGGACAGATCATCCTGGTGTTTCTTCTGAGCATGTCCGGCCCCTGGGCCCACCCCGTGCAGCTGTAGTGAACCGTTCTCTCCATCTTACCACGCACTTCACTGGGTCATCCTTAAACCCGTGCAGCTCAGATGAATGAAGAGACATTTGAGGACCTGACATTAAACAAGTGGATAATTAAGCGTTAGAGCCAACGTTAACCAATCTGGAGCCAACGTGAACCAGGGTTTGGTGACAGCAAGAAGAGAAGAATGGCGTGGTCCTCCGTGTGTGGTGGAGGGTGGGGGTTGAGCCGAGGAGGGAGCAAAAAGATGCAGCACAGAACCATTTCCAAACTCTTTTTAGCTGTGGAACCCTTTACTCAAAGGACATCTTACTCTGTTGGAAAAAGAAGGCCGTCGAGTTGAAGAGGGGCCAAGACACAGCCCGTTCCCCTCTCGCCCATATAGCAGCCCCTGGGCCCCTCTGAGGGAATTCTTAGGACTCAACGTGGCTTAAAAACCGCTGACGGAGGCTGTCTAGAGCACAAGGGAAAAACGCAGTTTGTTCAGAGACAAACTGATGTTGCCTAGGCTTTGTTCCAATGTTAAAAAGGGAGAGCACAGCTAAGGAACAGACACTATCAAACCATTAAACGGATACCTCTGGGCGATTTTTCATCAGACAATGAGAGTGATGCTTTGTGTTATTAAACTATTGTTATCTAATGAATTTTTACCTTTTGAATGATATGCATTGGATGGTAAACCCTTTTCTAATATTGAGTATAATTCTAACTAAGTTTAGGTTAATTTTTTAAAAAATCCCCTTTTTACTAGTTTTGTACTAACTGTGACAAATCTTTTCTTATTCTCCCTTAATCTCTGGTCGGTCAAGAGCAGACTATACCTCCCTTCTGCTAGCCTGTTGTATTATTTACATTTCCCTCTCACCACTACATTATTAAGCTCCCTTAGGGAGGAAAGTGTTTCAAGTATGCATCCTTTGCACCTGGCACAAGACCTGTCAATAGTCAATAAATATTTGCTGAATAAATGACACAAGCAGAGAGAGAATGGCTGTGGGGTCCCTACTGCAACAGCAACACAAAGGGAGAATTCTGACAGTGTGGAGGTGCATGCCACAGAAGCTTTGGGCCTAATCTCAAAGCAAGCTATGTAAAGAAGCCTTGATTTTCTCATCTATAAAATGGGAATAATAATATAATGGAGTTATATCTTTCTCAGGCATGTAGTTGTAATTACCTTCAAACCCTTTATGTCTTTCTTAGCTTGAACTGCTATAACAGAAATACCATACACACTGGGTGGATTAAAGAACAGCAAATTACTTCTCATATTTCTGAATGCCAGGAAGTCCAAGATCAATTCGTGGGCCCATTCTGTTCCTGGTGAGGGCCCTCTTGCTGGTTTACAGGTGGATGCTTTCTTGGTGTATCTTCACAGGGCAGAAAGAGAGAGGGAGAAAGAGAGAGAGAAGCAAGCTCTCTCATGCCTCTTCTTATAAGGGCACTAATCCCATTATGAGGGCTCCACCCTCATAACCCAATTACCTCCCTAAATCCCACATCCCAATACCATCATATTGGGCATCAGGGTTTCAGCATATGGGATTGGGGGACACAAACTTAGTCCATGGCATCTGCATCATCCATGATGTAAAGTACAATACACATGGTTTGGTGCATTCCTCAACTGCCTCTCAGCAACTCCAAAATCTATAGTCCCCTTCCATCCATTGTTTATTCTGAGTACATATGAAGTAGATGGACCCACAGAATATATGTATATATTAAATATTAATTAAATATATTAAAAATATGTTATATATATTTTTAAACCTGAGGGCATAGTTGAATTCATATATGTTAAAAGCACAGTTGGAGCACCTAAGTGGACACATAGGTACTACAGTAATAGGGTATTGGGGGAGGGGGGTGGGTATATACATACATAATGAGTGAGATGTGCACCATCTGGGGGATGGTCATGCTGGAAACTCAGACTTGTGGGGGGGGGATAGGGCATTTATTGAAACCTTAAAATCTGTACCCCCATAATATGCCGAAATAAAAAAAAAAGCACAGTTGGATCAATGCTAGTTTATACACCTCCTAGGATTGCTGGAATTATTAAATTGGTTAATATACAGAAAATGCCTTGGCCAGTAGCTGACACCTGGCTATGGTGCACAAGAAATGTTAGCCCCTTCCCACTCCTGACAGATGGCAGAGAGCAGTGATGGGGTCCCTAGGAAACTGGATCACTCCACTTCTCTTCCACCCTTGCACCTCTTCAAGTCAAGTTAGAGAATACCCCCAATGCTGAGAAACAGCATTTGAAAAATGAATCCTATCTCCCTATGATTTTCTTATGTTGCATTTGAATAGTTTCCATAAGCTGGCCACAGTACTACTCTCTTTGGGGACTACTGCCTGGCACTAGCCACAATTTTCTTTCTGATTTTGTAACTTTCGTAAATTGGGTACCATTCATTTACCCATTATGCAGCTCTGTCACAGACAGGCCCTGTATTAGGTCCCAAGACCAATAAGACACAAATGAGAGACAGACAAGTAAATAAACAGTTACAATACAGTACAGTGATAATATAAGTGCCAAGACAGAGAAATGGCCAGGATTCTCAGGGCACTGAGAAGGTGACTAATTCAGAATGGGGCTGAGAGAGGCTTGGCCAGAGACAGCTTTCTGCAGAAGTGATTCCTCATTCATAAGCCTTGTGCAGCAGCAGACTTCTGTTGAAATGAGATCTGGATAAAACACAGTAATTTTAGTTTTTAATTTTTCTTAAAATTAGAAGGAAACTTAGGAACCTAGTTACATGTTCCTCCCATCCTGTGTGCTCTGGGGTCAGACTGTCTGGGTTCCAATTGGGTCTCTGCCACTGTAAGCTGTGTGATTTGGGGAAAGTTCCTGTAGCTTCTTTCGGTGCCTCAGTTTCCTCACCAGTGAAATGGGGGATAATAATAGAACCTGGAATAGAGCAAGTTTTCAATAACTGTTGGTCATTAAAATTAATTATTTCTAAAGTTAGCAGTTTAGCTGATTATAGGCCTTTAATAAATTAAAGAATTCACAATTTTTTCAGAAGTGTTCAACATCTTACCTGAAAGCCACACCTTGTCTGAGTCAGATGCCTTGTTGTATAAAATTTTTAGTGCTGAAAGTAGAAGTGTATGTGAAACAGAATGAAAGGCTTTTAAAAAATTTCTCTGCCATGGACTTTAGATAACCTTTCCCCTAATAACCATAAAACCATTATATATGTATTAAAATACATGAATAAGAAAATAAACCCCATTAATTCATATTCTTTTCAAAATTTATGACACGGTCTAGGGCTTAGTAAACCCCTTCTTAATAAAAAGTGAAAATTAATAACATAAATAGAATCTTGCTAGGAACATTTAAATACTTAAGGAAGCAAACTTTTCAAACACCCCTAGTTCATGGGAGATGTCACCTGCATACAATTGATTTAGTAGGTAGAAGGAGATCATTAAAATAGCTCCAAGAGGCCAGTATTGTTAGGCTAGACAGAGTGCGTGGTTCAAAAGTAATGAAAATCTATATCTTTAAAGATATTACATAATTAAGATTTTCATTAAATAAGGCTGACCTTTTCCCCTAATAAGGAGGTTTTACTATATAGAGATAAATATTAATATATCATACTCAAAGTACCAATGCTGAAAAAATCTAGTCAAATTCACACTTCTGGATTTTTGCCTTTGTGGTGCTAGTTCCTCAATACTTAAAGGTCAGAATTCAACACATCCAGTTGGGGTTAGAGAAGGCCTTGAACTCTGGGTACTGGTGACTCTGGTAGAGCAGATGGTAAGGGCAGTGTGGTCTTTGATGCAGGCTACGTGCCCAGGCAATTGTTGTGAATTTAAGTGGATTTAGAACCACCTTCAATTTTTACTCTCTCCTACACAGAGCTTTCTATAGTGTGCTCTGTTTTGCGGGACATAACAGGATTTTGGCAGTGCTAGGTTAAACAAAGTGAAACACGCTTCACTGCAAGATTTCTTGTGACCTTCGGTGTGGTAATAACTCTTTGGGGAGAGAGGCAGGGGAGATCATCTCCAAAACTTCCTTGGCTCAGAAGCCTTTCTAGTGAGGCAGCTTACGGAACTAGGTTTTTCAGAACACACTTTCAAAAACACAATATTAATACACCCGCTGCACTGACAGTGTAAAAAGTACGAACCGGCTTAAATCCTTTTGATGGCAGCCATTGTTCCAAGGCTATGGTGTAAACTTCTGGATGGCCTTGAACAATCTGGCTCCTGCTTATCTGCCTGGCCTTGCCTCATTTCTCATCACACCCTTTCATACTCACAGTCCCTGTGACAGGGAACTACTGGTGGATTTTTTGGAAAATAATTCTTAGACACGTACTCTTCTACTTGTTCCCACATCATCCACTCCATGTTGGTCCCATCACAGCTTCTACCACCCTGATCCTAGTTGGCTGTCACTGCAGTTGGAACCATGTTCTATATACCGTTAGGCTATTTCACCAGCGACTATCATGGAGCCTGGCACACAGAAGGCCATAAATACATTTGTGGAATTAATGAAATGATAGCTATTGCTAGGCAGCTGGGGGCACATCCCATGGCTGCTAGTAATTCAGGAATGCCTGAGCCCCACTTGGGAAGGATGGTTTGCTTACTCGTATGTGAGCAGCAGAGGGTTTCTATTCTAGGGTACAATTATGAAGGCAGTTCTATGGATCCATAGTAATAGGGAAGCAGAAGTGGCACATATGCTGGAATTTCTACACAAAGATCTCTTTCTTGTCACTGGGACTCTAGACCCTATCAGATGGGCATGGGAGGATGACAGAGAGCTGGCCTAAAGGAAAGGGAACCTCGGTCAATGCCTCAGAACTGCCCACTTTGGCTTTGAGCTAGGGCTGCAGGACAGCCTGGTGTGGCTACTTATTCATCAAGTCCTTCTCTCTTTGGCGTGTGGAAAGATATCATTATAGTCGGGGAAGCAGCCATAGTAATTTCTTTCTCATCACTGCTGTGGCATCTCAGATGTTTCGCCATTCAAGGGCAACTGTATCCATGATGTGTCTACAGCTTCCATCCAAAAGTTTTGCTTTGTAGCAGGCTCACATAAAAGACAAAGTGTTATCATTGCTATCATGCCATCAGTGCCTGGTAGTGAGAAAGAACCAAAATTGCTTCCCTAGAATTCAGATTTCTCTATGATTTTCAAGGAGTTCTTTAGGATGGTAACCAAGAAAGCTGACAATCTTGCAGGAATATATCATGAGAGTCAGAAGTAGCCAGGATGAAGGTCTCTATTTCTTCTAGAGTCCCTGAGGCTGATTAACATCTCTAATTCAGGGTTACTGGCCTATGTTGCTTAAGACCCAAGTCTTGTTTACTTCCTGCTTCTTTCTTCTAATGGCCCTGCACAATTAGGATGGAGTTTCTTATCTCACAGTATGTCACAGTAGAGTACCATACAGGCTGGCTTCTCAAAGACTCTTCCCTTCTTGCCATTACATAGCTCTACAGTCCTTTCTTTCCTCATTTCTTGATCGTGGATCTTGTGGCTGCCACTCCCACCATCTTGAAGACAGAAAAGATGGGTGCCTGTGTGTGTGTACATACATAACAGTTGATTTTTCTTTTGGGTATAGCCCACTCATGCCCTAAAACCAGGCAGCAAGGTATACTGGGTTTATGCAAGAAGAACTCCATTTGTTATTGGGGAGCTCTGTGGTAAAGCCCCAAAGTCTGCTCACCCACCTGCTGGTTCCCCACAGAGAAGGATGCAAATTCTTGTGTATTTTTGGTTTCTCTTCATGATAGCAAAGGTAAATAACTTGATGTGAATACATGGTGCTGTTATTGTCATTCCTCCCCACCCCCCAGAATGAGAAACTCTCAATGAAAAATTAAATTCTGAGTCACAAGAAAAATCTAGAATGAGAACCCAAGTCTCAAAACTTGAAACCTAAAGTTCAAGACCCTAACATTTGTTGCCTCTGTGAATCAAGTTACAGTCTTACATGGGTGATGTAGGCAAGTAGGGTAGGAGAGGGATAAGAATTAAACTGTAGTGAGGAGAGAGAAAATGAATGCAGAGTCACAGCTTCCCCTCTGTGGTGAAGCCATGTGTTTCCTGAGTTCATAGAGATATTATTTAGTGAATATGTGAAAAAGTCAAAGGCCACTTTGCTACCTCTTTTTTAAAAATTTTTTTTACATATTTTTAAGAGTTTGAACAGACTCATTTACTATAGAACTAATTCAATTTAATTTTCTGACTGAGACCTAGGGCCAGGGCAGTTTTGATACAGAAGTTTGTATATTAACTAAATAGCCCTCAAAAAGTATGGCAACTTCAACAAAAATATTGTTTCATGTTGGTTTTACTACTTAAAGGTAGCCTCACACCATGTTAAATAATATTTTGCTCTCCATTTTACCAGATAATCCAGTGGATATTAAAAATACAGTTCACCCTATAGACCTGATTAATTGATGAAAACATAGACTTCTTATCAGTGACATTATGAGGTTAGAAATAGCATCCTATGCTAATCTGCAATGCCAAGAAATGAAGATGGTTTAAATCAGATCTCATGATTAATGCATAAGATCCAAAGTTCTTTTATTCCTGGCTATTTTAGAAAACTGGGGTGTATTTTTACCCTAAAAACTAATTCTATGAGATTTATTGAGATAATACAAAATGCCTTATAATTAACATCTCACAATCAAGATTTGTGGCCTACTGATGATCACAGAAATAACAACTTCTCCACTTTAGTTTTTTCAAAATTGTGTATATGCAATGGTTTAAGTCCAGATTCAAGAATATAGTTGTTGTTGTTTTTAGATTCTCAGTATCTGGAAAGATGACTCACCATAATAAAATGGAAAGTTTAGATTGTTTTTTGCAGTTGCTAGTGTCCATTTTAATTGTACTTATTGTGAATTCATTGAAATAGAAAGAAATATATCTAATAAGAAAGTAGGCCTGTTATTTTTGCTTGTTTTGGTTTTGGTCATGACAAACTGTGAAATGCTGTGTTTTTCCTATAGTTGTAGTCCATGAAATCTGCAATCTTTCCACTTGATTTACGAAGGACCCTTAATTACTGCTGTCATTAGCACCTAGTGTTCAAAACAGTCTGTTAAAATGTACTGTTAGTCTCACCTCCAAGTCCTTGCTTGCTGTATTTTAATTTTTTTCCAAGGGTAAGTAAAACAATAATTGTCTTAATAACAACAATCATTATGTACAGTGAATTAAATATTACAAGTTTTTTGATGCTCATTTCTATTCATTTAGAATTCTGTATTTGTGTGTTAAGACTGGCCTAGAGTTTGAACAAGTGTCCATAAACAGAGCTATTACTAGCAAGGACTTATTACCTGGGTTTTAAAAACAAGTCACTCATTTGCCTTTTTCTTTCCACATGGATAGGGATGACAGACAACTGCTGCGAAGCTTCAATGTTTCTGCCTGGTCATGCACAGTTCTGCAATATAATGCATAAATGTATAACAACAACTTGGGCTCGTTTGATACCTCCCTTGGAATAAGGAAATCCAACCAGGCGCGTCCCCGCGGGCGTCCTCGCTCACAAGCGCTCGCGTGCGCACACACACACACACACACACACACACACACACTCACAAGCGCACGCGCGCGCGCGCGCACACACACAGGTCAAAAGTTGATTCATTCCTGAGATCCCCCAGAACCTCTCTTTTCACGGTTCCTGGCAGCTAGGGTTCCCAGGCAGGGTAGTAGTGAGGTTGGGGGTGTGGGAGGGGCGGGGGGTGGCGAGGCAGCGGAGGCGGGAGCCGGGAGCCGGTGCGTGCCGCGCCCGCTCCTGCCGGGTGAGAGTCCGGGCCGGGTTTTGCGCCGTGTCCCCGGGCCTGTCTCACGGCCTCCAGCCGCCGCCGCCGCCGCTGCCGTGTTTACTGAGCTCGCTCGTCCTGATATCACTCCGCTGGCATGGAGGAGGAGGAGGAGGTGGAGGAGCGAGAGGAGGAGGAGGCGGCGGCGGCGGCGGCGGCGGCGGCGGCGAGCAGTTGATCATTGTGATGGTGGCAGGAGCAGCGGCGGCAGCGGCAGCCCAGCCGAGCGTTAGGGGCTGCTCTCCGCGCGGCGTTTTGCAAAGGACTTCACCGATCTACTTTTGCAGTCGCCTCGGACTGTCCATGTGTTTACTTCCCCCAGCCCGAGGATTCGATATCTAGGTTCCTGTGAAATGCAACTGAGCAGCCAAAGTACTTTGAGAACACGGGGCGGCATAAACACCAAAACTTTTTTGTGGAAGGAAAATGCAATAAGCAAGCTTGCCGTTTTCCGATCCGGTGTGGAGTGAGTGTGTGTCGCGCGTGTCCGCACTGGAGGCATATGCTTGTGTGTGTACATGGGGTGTGTTTTTCGGTACGTAGGGAGAAAATGCTTGCCAACCACCGGAGATCTCCTGGAATTTATTAGAAAATAATGGATTATAAAAAGAAGGCAGGCGAGGAGCGGATCTCCCCTTGAGTTGCAACCCGATTTGCTGCTGGCTCAGTTTGTTGTGATTCTTTTTGTTGATAGGTGTCTGATGGTATTCCGATAACCCCCCCTTTTTTTCCCCTCGAGCTTTTACAGTTTAAAAAAAGGAAACAAAAAAACCACCCCAAAATCTCCCCCTTTTTTTCGCCCCGTCGGGATCGCCGTTTCCATCCATGTGCTTGCGTCTCCCCCGCGTTCCACTTAAACTATTTTAATCCTTGGACCCAAGGAGGAGGCTGATAGGGGGGGTGGATAAAAAAAGTTCTTCCAAAATAGTGTGCCCGGGGAGCAGGATGGGGGATTTCGCAGCCCCCGCTGCTGCCGCAAATGGCAGTAGTATTTGCATCAACAGTAGCCTGAACAGCAGCCTCGGCGGGGCCGGGATCGGTGTGAATAATACTCCCAATAGTACTCCCGCTGCTCCGAGTAGCAATCACCCCGCTGCCGGTGGCTGCGGCGGCGGCGGCTCCGGGGGCCCAGGTGGCGGATCGGCGGCCGTCCCTAAGCACAGCACCGTGGTCGAGCGGCTCCGCCAGCGCATCGAGGGCTGCCGGCGGCACCACGTCAACTGCGAGAACAGGTACCAGCAGGCTCAGGTGGAGCAGCTGGAGCTGGAGCGCCGGGACACCGTGAGCCTTTACCAGCGGACCCTGGAGCAGAGGGCCAAGAAATCGGGCGCCGGCACCGGCAAGCAGCAGCACCCGAGCAAACCCCAGCAAGATGCGGAGGCTGCCTCGGCGGAGCAGAGGAACCACACGCTGATCATGGTGAGGGCGCACTGGCAGCGGGCTCGGCCGCGCGTGGGGGGGGGCGTGGAGCTTCTTACATGGGGGTGTGAGGGTCTGACTTGCACGGTGAGTGAGGTGGGCTGAAGCCGAAGGGTTAACGTCAACTTTTCTTAGGGAAAAAGCCGCAGTCGCCGCTACCTGTTAATCTGTCAGGGTTGTCAGATTTGGGGAGGAGGGGGCGAGAGGGGGAGAAGCCAGTCACGACTTCGAGGGGCGGAGGGAGCCTGGAGGAGCGTCAGAGTGAGGTGCCGGAAAAGTTTCCCCCCTCCCTTTCTTAGCTACTGATTTGAAAGAGTGAACCCCTGAGTTGGAACCTCGCTCCTCCTCTTCACAGCTCCCCACCCCACCTCTCGCCCAGCTGCCTCGCCTCCCCAGACCCGTCCCCCTTCGCCCACCCCGCTCGGCACATCCGCCGGGTGCAGGAGAAATTGATGCTGTCGCAGATTCTGGGCGGGCACCAGGCCCTCAGCCCCTTGGGGGAAGGGGAGTGGAAGGAGAACCTCTCGCCTCCTCTCCCCACCTCACCCCCTTTGGGCTGAGAAAGTCTAAGAGTTTTGTGAATGAACTTTGAAGTGGGTGAGGAACGAGCGAGGGTGGCTGCGCGCGGGGGTGCTCTCGGGAGCGCGCACGGATGCGGGCCCGGGTGCGCTCCGCTCGCGCCTCCAGACCCGGGGCTAGCCCGGCAGGTGGAGCGGCGGGGAGGGTCGGGGGGAGCGGCCCGGAGGGGGCGGGCGGGGAAAGCGACGCCCAGGGTTTGCGCCGAGAGTCCCCGCCACACAAGTTCGCTTGGGATTCCTTCCCTTCCTCCTTTTAAACTTGCCAGCACCGAGCCTTCTCCGCCTCGCCCCCCGCCCCAGTGCCCGCCAACTTTGCGGGCCTAATCAGCCTGGAGGAGTGGAAGGTAGCAGGGAGGTGAAAGAGGCTTAAATGGCTGGGTGGGTGGGTCCGAGATAGGATGAGCAGCCAATGGCTTAACTTCTCGGGGAGGAAGGGGCAGTTCCCGCCCCCCAAAATCCTTTCTCTTATCTACTCCGTCTGGTTCTTTTGCTTTCCTTTCTGGGTGGGGAGGCCGGAAGCTCGGGAAAGGTGTTCGCACCCCTCCCCCACCGCGCCGCCCGAGTGCGGGTGGGCCGGGCGCGGGGGTCCTGGAGCGCGGCGTGGCCGCGCGCCTTCGCCGGCTCCCCGTGCCGGCCGCGCCTCGGTCGGCGGCGCAGAGCCCCGCGCGGGCGGCCCTCTCGGTGCGCGGTTCCTAAATCGCGCACGTCCCCCGGCTGGGAGTCGTCGGCGCCGGGGGTGGTGTCAGTGCCGCCGCGGGCTTTCGCCGGGCGCTGGGGCCGGCGCTCCGTGACAAAGAGCCGGCTTGGGGGAGGGGAGGAGGGGCCGCGGCGCTCGCTCCCCACCTCCCCCCACCCCGCACGTGAAGAGGAACAATTTGTTTATCTTGGGCTTCAAGAATCCTTCCCTCCTCCCAGTTCTCCGAGGGCGCCCAGCCCCTCCTCCTTCCCCTCCCAGCCCGGCGCGATCCTCCCAGATCCCGCCGGCAGCACCTTCCCTCCTCCCCCGCTCCCTCCGCCTCCATCCCCTCTTGCCCGCCTTCCCCCGCCCTTCTGGAACGCGGCCGTGGGGGAGGGAGCGGGAGGCGCTTTGTCCGCCTCGCGGCCCTGCTCGGCCCCCGGGCTGCCCGGCTGGGAGGGGCGCTGCGCCCGCGGCCCTGCCCCCTCCCTCGCGCCCGCCCCGCCCCGCCCCGCCGCGCCCCCGCGCCCCGCGCCCGCTGCCTGCCCGGAGCGCGGGGAACCGGCCGTCTGCGTTTTGAGGAAGAGCGACTGTCCCAGAGTTGGGGGGGGAGGCTCTCGCTTTACAAACAGGAAGCCGAAAACCACTGTCACACTGTAGCCTTTCTGATTGTACCCCGAGGCGGGGCCGGACCTGCGTCTCGACTGTAGCTCGCTGCCCGGTTCCCATTTATCTCGCAGTCCGCCGCGACTCCCGGCCCCGCCCCCGCGCGCCCTCCGCGCAGGAGACTCACTTTGTGAACCTGAGACTGAAGTAGAATTTGAAAGACACTTAGCATTACATCCTTGCCCACCACACGCCCTCTTTTGGGGCGTTTGTACACCCCACGCGCCTGGATTGCGTAGAAGTGGGCTGCCTTCGTGAGGCTCCAAAAGTCCCGTCCACGGCATCTCTCACGACCTTTGGGGTCGGAGGACTCCCGAGGCGCTTACCTCGCCGGCTGGGCGACCCTGGAACAAAAGCCAGTGTGGTTCCCAGTGGCTGGGCGCTTTTGACCCAGGCCAGAGGAGTAGAGTTTGCGACCGGAAAGTTTTTGTGTTTGGGCTCTGTTCGCACGAGGTGCCAGTCGGCCCTGGGACGGGTGGAGGGAGGACGCGGGGCGCGCGCCTGGGCGCTGGTACACCCGCAGGTGGGAGCAAGCCCGCGTCCTCACGTTACCTGGAAGGAGGCAGCAAGCCCGAGCCAGAGCTTACTTTTGAAAATGAAAAGATAATGCCTACTTGAATGGACGAGACATCAGCTGTAAATTTCAGTGAATCCCAGTTTAGCAAGTTAACAACAGATAGCGCTGAAAAATGATTGCCTGAAGATAAAATTTTCCTATCAGTTTTGTGATCATAATTTAGCCTATTGATTAGACTTACGTAAATTCCAGGGCTGTGTACGGAATAGGAGTATTTTCTAAGCTTCAACTGTTTCGCATATGCATCACTCAGTGATATCAGTGGGAAGTATGTGTGATAAATGTCATGAAAATAAACAGCAGTAAATCCCAAGCAGAGTTTTTTTTTTCTTTTAGTAAATTGTGTATCAAAAAGAGAAAAAAAATTAACATTTTCTACAAGTTATATATCCCTTTAAAGTGATTAGTTTAAAAATTCACATTGACTTCTGACATGAGTATTTTAACTTAGCCTATATGTGAAATAAAAGCTTAAAAACAGGTTATAAAGAAAATGTTGATCTTCATTTTCTCGAATTGACTGCTGGGTTATAGTTGTGCTCTGGTGGGGCACAGAGCAATTAAATTTAGTTCTCAGATTGGGCTCTCGGTTTGGAAAGCCCTAAAGAAAAACGATGATCAACCACAGCCAAATAATAATAACAGCTATATAAAAATAAAGATGAATAGGATTCTTTCCTGTTTTATTGCTATTGTTTACCTTTTTAGAGCCAATATGTCCAAAGTACTAAATATCGATTAATTCCCTTTCTGCCTGGCTTGGGTTAATGACGGCTTTACCTCTTTTGATTTGTTTTTTGTATCTTATACATTTACAAGCACGGGCATGAAAAACAAAAACAAAAAAAACTAGCAAACAAAAAGCAGGGTGGGTGAGGGGTAATAGAAACCTCCTTTGGTTGCAGAGGGGGCTGGGTTCTGTGTGAGTCCTCACTAGTACTGTTGATGTAGGTAGCGCAGGCCTGGGTTTGAAGCTGCCCTACCTGGGGTAATAGGTCCTTTCTGAACATGTAGTCAAAATGACTCCCCACCCCCACTACCACAACCACCACTTTATTTACAGAAGGTGTTTTTTTTCCCCCCCTCCAAAGACTTGTTGAAAAAAACGATTTTTCCCTGTTAGAGAATCTCAGTTGAAAAGGTATCTTTTCTTAAAATACTTTTAATTATCTGTGGTAACAAAAAGAGACATTGTTCATTTGCTATACTTGGAACTGAGGTCTTGGTTAAAATTTTAAGGTGAGTTTCAATTGACAAGTTTGTTTTCAAGCCCAACGGTGGATGGGCTGGACAAGCGTGTAATAGGCCGTATCAGAAAGCATGACAATGCACAGTTTTAAAAATTCCAAAATGGTGGTAGTTTTACTTGACCTGGGTAAGACCCATGGTATTTTCATGACCTTTTCTCTATATTAGCATCATCATAACTTTCAGAGTATGCTTAATTTATATACAGCTGCAGACTGCATAAAATCTATGTGACCCCCTGCTCTGAAGCGTTTATCTCATTTAAAATTCACTTGCTAGTAAATGTATTAATTACTGAGTATTAGGGACAACTGCAACCCATCAAAAACATTCTCATCCATTCCCGGACTAGATCCAGGCAATGTCGACATATTAGTCCAGTGCTAAAGCTCCTTATAAATGAATCTGGTTTCCCATTTCTTACCTTGTTGCAGGTAAATTACTGGCTCTGCATCCAGGTTTTTTAGCAAGCATGTATTACCAAACCATTTCTAAATCTTTCCTATGATAACCTTTTTGTCGGCTTATACTATCAAGAGTAATAGGAAAGACAGCCGTGTTTTGAAAAGGTTTCTATAGCCCAGTATAGTGTGCCTTAAGTTTGGGAGAAAAGCTTTCTGAAATTTCATGTCTTTCATACATGTTGGGTTTTTCTTTTAATTCTCAAGAAGCATTTTTAAAACTCCAACACATACTTAATTCTGTTACGTTCTTTGACTGCGGCCAATTTTATGTAGTACTGAGCAGTCTGAAAAGTAGAAGCATAGTTAGTTAACCATTAATCAACTGCAAAATGCTCTTCAGCCTGAGTTCTTTTTTCAGGGAAAGCTGAGTTTTCAGGCTGCTAGTACATTAGATACTTTACATCCTGTCTCATTAGAACTGTTAAGGGCAAACTTTAGAATCTTTTGAGAGTTTTCTGAGCACTTGATAAGAGAAAAATGAGCAGTCCTGGTACAGGGTTTACTGACATTTCTGTAAGATGAAGGATGAGGATCTTAAACACTAAAATACAGTTATATAGAGTTTTTTTCTAACTATCTCTGTGAGACTAATAGCCAGCTATTGTTACTGAAAAGGTTTTTGACCAGGGTCTTCCATTTGGTTGAGATAGGAATGGGCCCGTGTTCTCTGTCTCTCTCTCTTATACATAAACACACACACACACACACACACACACATACACACACACACACCAGTCATTGGTGCTGGTGCCATAAAGGGAATCTAGTATTATAAATCATTTTGCATGTGACATAGTTCATTCTTGGATGCATTTGAAGTACTCATGTTTTATCTAATGTCATTTATGGTATTTTATTTGATTAATGTTTTATGTTTGTTAAGTAATAGTCCTGTGCTATACTCTTTAGTTAGGATGGCTAATTTCTGTCATCTTTTCCCACATTACCCATAGAGAACAGTGAAATCAATTAGATATCAACAGGAGTGTACTTAAAACTCACTCTCAAAATTTTCATAGTATTTGCCTTTTAAGTCTCCCAAATAGCTTTTACATTTTTCACTCTATTATTCAAAGGCTGATGATTGAGTTTGCAGATCCTGTGGCAGTTCACTTTGTTTTTCCTTCCTCCTCCTGCTGCCAACCTTTTGGTCTTTTCACTGATCTTTAGCACCTTTATCAAAGAGAGGGAAGAAGCAGTAAGAAGAGAAGAAATTTAATTTTGGTGCTTCTGACTCTCATAACTAATGAAACGATTGGATATGAAACTGCTTTGGACTTAATATGGATTTGGTTTTATACATTGTTTCCTTAGCACAGATAATAGAGACTGGACTGAGTTTTTAATTCATTTATTCAACAACGTTGGTACACAGCCCATAGTGTTTCACATAAGTTAAAATGCTAAATCATGGTCTTGTATCCAAGACTTTGACAATGTATATTCTTTATAGATTTTCAGTATTATTCTGGCTAGGTATTTAAGGGGACAGCAGATTTTATTTTTTTTAATCAACATAGTCATTAATGCTAGTGACTTCTCAGTAGCTTTAGGCTGTTATAGCCCATTTGCATGATATTTTAAGGAAAATAATATGCTTTACTTTCCTGTTGTTTCAAACTAATTTGACATTGGTATCTGAATAAAAAAGGCACCAATTTACAGGTGACTGCTTTAAAGTTATAGGATACCCCCCAAAATTAAATTTTTATTAAAAATACAGCATACTTTTCAGACAGACATATTCCAGAAATTCATTATTCAGGTTTGTATGATGGAAATGAAGCTTCTGGAAAATCAGCTGTCACTAAGAACTGATTAAATCTCCTTAATTTAATTTTTTGGTTTAAGTCTAAAAAAGTTTGAAGAACAAAAGAAATAATATTGGATACAATTACTCAGAAAATGGAGTTCAAGGCCTGCTATATAATAAATACTTAAAGATCAAGTTGCATTCAGTGGATCAGAGAAGGAGCACACTTCTTTCATAAGTCTACCTGGCTATTGCATGTGTTTAAACAGTGGAGGGGTTTTGAGTTCCTTTCTCCATTTGGCACATAAGCACAGTGTTCCCTTAGGGCCACATGACACACATGCATAGGAAAAGGAAATTACTGCAGTGGCTTTTTTTTAAAGGCAAGCTGTGCATACTATTCTTGGGGAAATTTAATAAAAATCGCAAAAGGCTTGCAGTACTTCCTCTGACTAAGGAAAGTGATTCCTCAAGAATAATTTAGGAACCTCCTTTTAATTATATTGGACCTCCCATTGGTTGGACACGACCTTTATGCTGAGGTAGAATCTTTTAAAATACTAACAACCAATTTATCCACCTTTAGCAGTGGCTTAACAACTATAGAAAACTTAGGTGTAATACTTAATTTTAACTAATAACTTCCAGAATTTGCTTTCTAACTCCTTAAATCTCCATCCCGTTGGTTGGAATATGGTTGGGTACTGTTTCATGTTTATGGACCCTCCAACCCTCAACTGTTTTCAGCCTTTACTGCTGTGTGTTAAGAAGTTATTGGGACGAATTACTATGTATCTCTCCTTCCCTCTCCCAACATCTTTCTCCACCTCCAGAGCACATGTCCGGACAGGGGCTTCTTTCCCTTCGAAGAAAAAGGCTGAAATACTCTGAGTCTGTTTGTGTAGATTCAACCTGGGCTGTAGCCGTGGCTCAAAAGGATTGTGCAGCTCTAAGAGACAAACTCTACTTGTGCCCTTCCTTCTCTCTGTGGTTGGTTCTTCCTTTTTCTTCGATTGTTTGTTAGAGGTTGAAAGCATCTCAGTGATTGAGAGTGAATCTAAAGGGATGGGTACCCAGTCAAGTGTTTGAACTCTACTGGTAAGGAGAGGCAAAAGGGGTGAGCATTTTGGAGGTCTCAGCTAGAATGGATGGCACAGGAGATGAATAATGAGAGATTATTGGTTTTGTGCATTTGTGGTAAACAGTATCCCAGTGCCTTGGGAGTTGACAGAGGCAAAGTTTGCCTTTAGTAGTCTATTCTAAACCTGCAGACCTTACTGAACTCAAAAATATACTTTCAAGAGCTAATGGCTATATTGTTTCTATCTGAAAAAAAAAAATCATGTTCCTGGAATGTTTCCATGCTCTCTTAAATCATTACTACTTCCATTTGAATGGATTTATTATAAGATTCCTTTAATTCAGTGATTCTCAACTGGTAGAGATTTTATCCTCCCCAAGGGAACATTTGGCAAGGTAGGGAGACCTTTTTGGTTGTTGCAAATGGAGGGTGCTACAGGTGTCTAATGGGTAGGAGCAGGGCTGCTGCTAAATATCCTACAAGGCGCCCTCAACAGAGAATTGCCTGATCCATGATACCAATATTGCTGCTGTTGAGAAGCCCTGCTTTAACCAAGGAGCTCCCCTAGAATGTTCACAGTATGATACGAGATGGATTTACACAATGTGGCTTTCTCTAAGCCTTTTAGTCTCGTTAAAAGAGTGGGGCAAGGCAGAGGTA